CTTTTTTTTTTTTCTATAATTATATTTTATTAATTTTCATAAACATTTACAGAGATTTTGGGCTAGGAGGAAGCAGTCTTAGATACTGAATTCTACTGCTTTGCTTTTCAAGTGGTGTCAGATACCTGTCTGCAAACTATGGTCTGTGGGCCAGAACTGGCCAGTGGGAAAAAAATTGTTTTACATTTATTTTCAAAGTTTAGACAATTATAAAAATAATGCTTTGGGGCATGTGAAAATGATGTTGTTAAGTGCTGTTGAGTCATAGGTGACTCATAGCGACCCTATGAACGAAAGTCCTGGACACCTGTATAACTTTTGTCCTTTCTACGGGCTTATAGGGCTTCCAGAGGCAAGTTATTACGGAAGTGGATGCCACTCGTGCTTCCAAGCTCGTTTTAATCAGGGAGCTCCACAAATGATAGTGAAATTAAAAATGAGAATGAATTAAAATTTCAGTGTCCATGAAGAAAGTCTTCCCAGGGCACTGTGATGTGCATTTATTGGCATCTTGCAGATCGTGGTTCTAGCACCATCGTGACCAGCAATTGCAGTTGACCAGCAGTAGGCATCTGTAAGGCCTGCAAAGCCTGAAATATTTGTTGTCTGGCCCTTTAAGGAAAAGTTAGTCGACCCCTCATTTAGGAGATGGTGGTTTTTCACCAGGACCACCAGCAAAGCCTGCACTGTCCTTATTTGCTGCTGTGTCAGCTCCAGCTCCTAGTGACCATGAGTACAACAGAATCAAATGCTGCCCAGTCTTGCACCATCATCATAGTCATAAAATTAAGCTGTGTCTACTGTGATCGGTAGCGTTCTCATTGATTTCCAGGGGCCTCGATGTTACTTTTTAGTCTATCATGTCCGGAAGCTCCAATGAAACCTTGTTATGATGTGTAACCCTGCTAGCATATGAAATACTGTTGGCATAACTTCCAACTTCACAGTAAGATGCAATCCAACATAATAAGCTAAACTGAGATGCTGTTCTGTGTCGGTTGACTATGACTCACAGCTACCCTGTGAAGAATGGCCGTGAACTCAGCCTTATCGTGGACCATCCTCATCATCCCTGATGTACTTGAGCCTGCTGTTGTATGGTCACTGTGGCAATGTGTCTTGTTGAGGGTCTTCATCTCTTAGGTTGACCCTCTACCTATCGAAGCATGATGTTCCTTTCTAAGGAATCGTCCCTTCGAACATCATGCCCAAAGGATGTGAGATGAAGCTTTATCATCTGTGCTTTAGGGAGCGCCCTGGCTGCACTTCCTCTAACACGGACCTGTTTGTTCTTTCTGCAGTCCATGGGATATTCAGGACTCTTCTCCAGCCCCTTCTGCAGCTCAAAGGAATTGGTGATTCTTCTGTCATCTTGATTGTCCAACTTTCAGAGGCATAGGAAGTAATTGAAAAGACTGTGGCTTGAATTGGGTACACCTTAGTCTTTAAACTGGCATTGGTGCTCTTTAGCACTCTGGAGAGGTCTTTGACAAAAAATTTCCCAATGCTACATGTCTTGATTTTTTTTTTTAACCTTTAATGTTATATTTAATAGCAGAACTAAACAGCCATGAGAAATTTTCATTAAGCTTATAGACTTTTTAAAAAATTTTTGCTTTTAAAAAATGGATGTTAATATTCAACATCTTAAAACATCCAACAGTTAGGTTTTTTTTGTTTGTTTGTTTTTTTTAACCAGTGTTTTTTTTCCAGTTAAGAGGTAATAAGGTATTTATTAAAAACGCTTTCACCAAGAGGCAATTCAACGTTATAATTTAAAACCCAGCCCACTACAAAATAAAGTAAAAAAAAAAGTGTGTGTGGGAGGATAAAAACTGTGCAACTTTGACAAAGAGACAGAGACGGAGGGGCCCGGGAGGGCGGCCCCAGGCCTAGGGTCTCCCCACTTGAAGCCAGGAGCAGCAGCAGGTGGGAGTCAGGGTGCCCCGCGTGGCTCAGTCCTTGGCCGGTCCGGAGTTGGGGGGCAGTCCCAGGACGGACCTCAGACACTCGTAGCTCATTCTCCTCCGTTGCTGAGTCTGTACCCCACTGCCACTTTGCGAGATTGCCAATCTCCATGACTCGCTCGGTCAGCCTCCAGTGGGCTCTGGATCGCCTTCAGGACCTCTGTGGGCCGGGGACAGGGTCTCGTCATTGAGCAGTGCATGTTCCATCACCAAGTCCGGGCGATCTCTCCTCTTGGTCATTCTGGCTCCCTGAATAACCAGTGTTTTAAAAACAATACATGGGGGTGGGGGGAGGGATTGCATTACAATGAAAGAGTTTTTCTTTTCAAGGAGAAGAGTGCATTGGGGGGGAGGGAGTGAGTAGGGAGAAAAGTGCAACAATGAATGACTGGAAACCCTAAGTCTCTAAACTTTCATTAAAATTAATTTTTTTTAAAAAACCTCAGTGCATCTAATGGTACATAAGCAAGACAAACTTTTTATTAAGTACTAATCATTTTATGAAGAAATCATCTTTGCCTGTGTGAAAATAAACATTTAAGAGAATAAATACTGTTAACAAGTAAATTAAAACCATAATTATAGGTGAGAAAAGTGCAACAATGAATGAATGGAAATCCAAAGTCTCTGTACATTTCATTGAAAGTAAATAATAATAATTTAAAAAAACCCAAACCATCATTATAAATAACTAGGAAAAAAGTTTTAAACAGAAACCTACAAAAACTTCACTAGGTAAGGATATTCACTCAACCGTAGTAGGGAATATACCGAGCACAGTTAACCCCAAATAGGAAGGTTAGCAAGTTAATAGACTTTCTCTCTTAGTTAGAGCCTACTCAAAGTCCTGGGTCCAGCTGAAAATGACTGCTGTACGTTTAAAAAGATTGGTCCGGCTGTATTTTCTGATTCCTCCTCAACATTTACAGTATTGGCAACTTCATGTCGATTTTCTAGAATGTGTTCATGGAATCCATTTGACACCTCTTTTTGATTTTTGTATTAACCTCATCAATTGTCTGTCCTTGGGACTGACTGTTCCTCAGAAACTTTGCCCTCTTTCCAACACCATTTGTAAAAAAGGCTGTCATTTCCCCACTTAACTGATTTCATCTCCTTGTCAAAAATCAGTTGACTATAGGTAGATGGGCTGATTTCTGGGTTCTTAATTCTGTTCCATTGATCTATGTGTCTGTCATTGTACCAGTACCATGCTGTCTTAACTACCACGGCAGTGTAGTAGGATTTGAAATCAAGGAGTGAGATACCTCCTACCGTTCTTCTATTCTTAAGGAGTGCTTTGCTTATTCGGGGCTTCTTTCCATTCCAAACGAAACTGGAGATTGCCTTTTCCATCTCGTTGAAGAATGGGATTGGTATTTGTATTGGGATTGCATTAAATGTGTAAATTGCCTTTGGTAGTATAGCCATTTTCACAACATTGAGTCTTCCTATCCATTAGCAAGGGATATTCTTCCACTTCTCCTGGTCTCTTTTTGTTTCTTGTAGTAATGTAATTTTCTTTGAACAGATTCTTTGTGCTTCTGGTTTCATTTACTCCCAATTATTTAATCTTGTGATTAGCTGTTGTGAAGGGTATTGTTTTTCTTAGCTCCAGCTCTGTATTCTCTTTGTCACTGTAGAGAAATCCAACTGATTTTTGTATGTTGATCTTGTATCCTGCTACTTTGCTGAACTGGTCCACTGTGTCCAATAGTTTTTAGGACCGCTATTTTTATCATTGTATTCTCTTCTCACTTTGTTTAGGTTGCGAGTTATAAGGACTCAGCATCATGTGGAAGCATTTGTAGAGCATCTCAATGGCCACATCGTGGTTTCGGCATCCACTCGTGAGTGGGCTATTAAAAAGCACCTTTATAGGACCACAAACGTGGTGGCCTGCGAGAGTGTAGGACGAGTACTGGCGGAGCGATGCTTACAGGCAGGAATCAACTTCATGGTTTACCAGCCCACCCCTTGGGAGGCAACCTCGGACTCGGTATGTTTGTGTTCATGTACTTATCTAAAGAGTGTGGTGGGATTGCCAGCATCGCCGGATGCTTGGTAACAGTCCCCTGGGTACCAGGTCTTGTTCAGGAGTCAGACCCGTGGCTGAGGACTCTGATAAACATTTCGGTGTGACTTCACCAGAACCCCATACAGGTTGTTGCGTGCCAGCAAGTCAATTCTGTCCGACTTCCACCGACCCTGTGGGACAGAGTGACTGACTGAGGGGATGTTGCCTCATCGCGTTTTCTTGGGCTGTAATCCTTACAGTAGCTGACTGCCTAATCTTTCTCTTGTGCAGCGGCTGGTGGGTTCGGTTACCTAGTCAGCTGCATAGGCATGTGCTCCCTGGGCTCCTTACCTAACAGGTGAAGACTTAATCTGGTTTTGTGTGTAAATGGATTGACTTGCCCCGAATCAGGAAGTACTGCATTTTAAGCCCAGGGTGACTGATGCTCCGGCACACAATAGAAACCATTGTACTTTCCTCTTCAGTATCAGCTGCTTTTCCACACGTTTTAGAAACTACTGTGATGTGTGTGTGTGTGTGTGTGTGTGTGTGTGTGTGTGTACCGTCAAATTGAATGACCGTTACAAGGAGGAAATTGCCCCTACTCCAGCAGAGCATCTAGTGGATTCAAACCGTGTACCTCTTGAATTGCAGTGCTAGAAACTACTGACTTTTGATAAGTCACTGTAAAAAGAACTAGGACCACAAGGGGACAGCCATAGCTGACCTTTACAGACTTCACAAAGGGGAATTGTTTCTGTCCATAGCATCAACGACACAAATTCTCAGGAGGTCAGACATGTCCTCCACATTCCTGTACCTCTTTCTACTCATCTCAACACCAGTCTTAACTGCTTTGCTGGTCCACGGTCTGATGCTAGAGTTCACAGAGCACACGGAATCATATTGAAGAAGTCAAGGTTATCGTCCAGCTTAGTCGCAGAATATAGTCAGGCTGGCTTCTGAACTGTGCGCACAGGCACCTCCACCATGAGCCTGGCTTTAGGCCCGTGTTATAAAGTTCCCAGCCCTTCCAGTATTGGCTCTCCCCACGCTCACCCCCAAGTTGTCTAACAAACTTGGGCAAAGGCTCTTAGCTCTGGCCTCATCCGTGGGGCAGCCGTCCCGAGGTCCCCTCCGTCTCCTGTTGGGTCTCTACTTCTCCCCTGTGTCTGCTGCTCTGGTCCAGAAGGATGAATTGCATTCTCTTCTTCCCTGTTGATGTGATGTTTTCCTTCTGCTGGTGGGTGCACTTAATTTAATAGCTAGAGCTGCCAGTCCCTTGTGGCTTGGTGAGATCGCCAGTCCCCTTGTGGATAAGCTAGCGTGCCGTATTCACATATTCCTGCCCATGGCGGAGGCAGGCAGTGGCTCGAGGAGCCACTCTGAATAACTCCACAGTCACCATCCCCTTTTCTCTACCTACGTATGGTAAGAAGTTGTGCAGTCAACCCAAAGGCAGGTAGTTCAAGTCGACCAGCAGCTCCAAGGGGGAAATGGGCAGTCTCTTCCAGTGTAATTTATGGCCCCTGAAAACCCATTGAAGAATCAGCTATGAGTCAGTTCTGATCTGAAACACGTCATTGTTAAGATCATTTTCAGAAAGACCAGCATGGATGGGGAAGTTAACAAGGGGCAGGACGGTTTTATATTTACTTCCCCCTCTTACAAAGTGAGCTCTTCGTTTCCAGCCTTCCTTGTAGTGCTAACTTAATCCATTCCCCTTTCTTTGGTCTTCAAAACCAGATCAAACGACTGCAAAGTGCTATGACAGAAGGTGGTGTCATGCTACAGGAACCTCGGAGAATCTATCAGAATCCAAACTGACTGTCGAACTTGCCAGTAGAAGTAAAGCGCTCCTGCGTCCGTGGGAAGAGAAGCAGCTTGGGAGCTTTGTGACGGTGACCTGGCTGCGCTGTACTCCGTCGAAAAGCTCGTTTCTCCCGCCCCTTCGCATTTCTTTGTCTGCTTTCTCACTGAGGACTGGATTCTTCCTTCTTGGACATGAGAGTCATATCTGAGAAAAGTAGTCACCAATTTTTATTAATTTTTGCAGGACTAATTAAGAGTATATTTTGTTGGGGGTTTTGTTTGTTTAATTTTTAACTTAAAGAATAAAGGTACATTGTAATTAACTCCTAGGTTTTGGTCATGTGAAATTTTGCCTGCAAGAGTGTGTTATTGTGAACTGTACAGTTGGAGCTGACCCATAGCTGACCCTCAGGCAGGTTTTCGGAGTTGGTTAACCATTGAGAGGAGATTGCCCAGCCTCCTGCGGAGCAGCTGGGGGCCTTGAATCGCCTGCCTTTGGGATTGCAGCACAGCGTCTTGCCACTAGGCCACCAGAGCTCCATCAGTTTATATTAAGCACTCATTACGGTGTCTGGTTTGCGTTGGGTGATTTGAATACGTGATAGGTTTCTCTGCTTCAAGCTGTGGCGGTGTGTGGTGGTTAATGATGGTTAGCCGTTATTCTCGGTGGTTTGACAAACCTGTAGTTACTTTGTGATCTGATATGAGCAGCCAGTCAGAAGGGTAGTTCCCCTGTGTGTGGGCTGCACCCAATATATATGAATATTCTGGCAAGGCTTGCACGCTCCCTGCAGCATTCGTTGGTCACTTTCTTGCCCTAGTCACTCCTGTTATTGCCCATAATAACCGAGCTCATGGCCACAGTGGTCACTGACGTAGTCCACAGGTTCTGAGTATCCAGTCCACTAGCAATGAAGACCAGTTCTGAATCCCCAACATGGCATCATTTTGTGGAGCGAAGAGCCAACAACCTGATGGAAGTTGATTAAGTTCATTCTTAATTAATAGATACACATCCAATGTGAATATGGAATGTTGTTTTTATTGTTACGTGCTGTTGAGTTGAGCACAACTCACAGTGACCTGAGGAACGAGAGATCTGAACCCTGTCCTATCCTGCGCCATCTTCACACTTCCAACACGTTAGAACCCACTGTGACAGTCACTGTGTCAAGCCACCTGGTCAAGAGTCTTCCTCTCCTTCGCCGACCCTCTACCTTTCCAAGCATCATATCCCTCTCCGAGGAATAGCCCCCCCTAGCAATATGCTTCATGTATGTTGGCAAAGCCCCATCATCTTTGCCTGCAGAGAGCACTCTGGCTACACCCTCTCCAAGACATTCTTTTGGCAGTCCATGGGATTTAGCTATCATAGGGATAGATGTTTAAAAACCAGGAGTAATGCTCTAGAAGGCACCTAAGCACTTACAGGTCTCCTCCTCAAATGTATCTGACATAGAAACAGGTTCACCTTAACTTGCTTGCACTCAAAGTTTTATTTACTGAACAAATTTCCACTATCTGGTAAAGGTTTTTGTTGTTAGGTACTACCGAGTTACCTAGTACTTACGCTGACCCTTTGAAAGACAGATCTGAACCCTGTTCTAACCTGCGTCATTCTCATCACCTCTGACATACCTAAGTCCATTATTGCAGTCACTGTGTCGTGTCAATCCATCTTGTTGCGGGAGGTATGTGTGTGTGGGGCGTCTTCCTCTCTCTCACTGACCCTTCACCTTTCCAAGGAACATTGCTGTTGTTTTGTGCCATCAAGTTGGAACCAGACTCCTAGATGACCCTCCCACCTCTAGCGGGTTTACAGAGGCAGTAAATTGCAGGGGAGGAGATTGCCCATCCTTCTCTCACCAAGTAGCTGGTGGATTTGAACTGCATGTGTGTGGGATTGCAGTGAAGCTTCTTACCTGGTGCCACACTAGTTAAGCACTGAACTGTTAACTGAAAGTTTGGCAATTTGAACCCACCAGTGGCCTTCCTTGCAAGAGAAAAGGCCTAGCAATCTATTCCCAGAAAGATTTCAGCATAGAAAACCCTAGGAAGCAATTCGGCTCTATCCGATGCTGATATTGGTCTGAGTCAGAACTCACTCAACAGCTGACTCTCCAGTAGGTTTTCACAGCTTAGAAATCACAGGAGAAGATTGTCCAGCGTTGTCCCCTCAGAGCCATGTGCCTTTTAAGTTGGATGTGCCATGTCTTAACACTAGGCCACAAGAGCTCCCTACCCTGTTCTACAGGGCTGCTTTAAGATGTAATTGTCTTGTTGGCACATGACCACCATCTCAGTGCTATATTTCTTTAGAAGTGAACTGTAATACTACTGTTGTTTGTGGTTGTTAAGTGCCATCTAGTCGCCTGCGACTCATAGCGACCCTATGTACAACAGCCCTCAACCCTGCTTTGTCCCGTGCCAGTCTCTCTGTCCCTGACACACCTGTAAATGTCCTTATTATGTTTTTAAATGGTATCATCAATGTGTATGCACCCACATTAGTATAAGTGTTATCGATCCTGGGAAACCTTCGTAATCTGATGGCTTAAATTTCCCCCTCTGATGTTGTTGTTAGGTGCCATCGAGTCAAGTACAACTCATAGCGACCCTTTGAACAACTGACCTGAACCCGCTCCTATGCCGTGCCACCTTCTTCATCTCTGACACACTTGAGCCCATTGCTGGAGTCACTCCATCCATCCATCTTGTCTAGAGTCTTCTCTTTTGCTGACCCTCTACCAAGGACTATCTCCTAGCAACATGCCCAAAGTATGTGAGATGAAGCTTTGCCTTCCTTGCTTCTAAGAAGCACTCTGGCTGCACTTTCTCCAAGAAATATCTATTCTTTTGGCAGGCTAGCTAGTGCTTTCCTCCAGCATCGCAATTCAAAGGCATCAATTCTTCTGTCATCCTTATTTATTGTCCAGGTTTCAGCTGCATAGCAAGGAGTTGAAAAGACCATGGCCTCAATCAGGCACACCTTCAACCTCAAGCTGACATTGCCTGGAAAGGTGGACGGTTATCTTCTCTGTAAAGAGTGAAGTGTAGTAGTTTCTTCTCTTGTCCTAAAGATGGACAGGAGCTCCTGACATAGAAGGCTGTTGAAGCGGAGGTGTAAGAGGCTGACTCGTTGATGGGTGCATGCCCTTTAAGAGGTTACAGGGAGCAGGTGATGATGGGCACGCACCCTTTAAGAGGTTGCAGGTGGTGATGGGCACGCACCCTTTAAGAGGTTTCAGGGAGCAGGTGCTGATGGGTGCTTGCCCTTTAAGAGGTTGCAAGGAGCAGGTGCTGTTGGGTGCACGCCCTTTAAGAGGTTACAGGGAGCAGGTGATGATGGGTGCTTGCCCTTTAAGGGGCTGCAGGGAGCAGGCCCCACTGATGGGCGCGCCCCTTTAAGGGGCTGCAGGGAGCAGGCCCCACTGATGGGCGCGCCCCTTTAAGGCTACAGCGGAAGTGGCGGCGGAAGTGAGCCCCACACGGCGCCACGTGGCCTCGTGGACAGGCTGAGCAGCGGGGCCATGGACGTGAGCGCGGAGGACTTCGAGCGGGTGCTGCCGCTGCTGCAGGAGCTGGTCCTCAAGGCGGACTTCGTGGGTGAGGCGCCCGGAACCTCGATGGGGAGGCGCGGGGACCCCGGGGAAAGGGAGGCCAGGGAACCGCCGAAGGTCCCCACCGCAGGCGAGGCCCGGCCTGGGCTCGGTCTCGGGATGCCTCGTGGGCACAGATCCGAGCCAGGGGCGCCCTGCGCGGTGGGGGAGCCCCGGGAGACCTGCCCCGAGAGACCAGCAGGGCTGCCAAGGACAGCAGGCTTCTCGATGCTTCGGCCACCTCCATGCCACCTCCTTCAGTGGACCCGGCTGCTCTGGCACCGAAAACTGCTGGCCCTGCAGCCTGTAGAGCATAAGCGATGGTGCCCGGGTCTGCGTGGAAGTTCTGTCTTTCTGCCCCGGACTCCCCAGGTCTCGACATCGAGTTCACCGGCCTGCGATCCAACCTGTCAGAGGCACAGCAGATCAGGTAAAGCCCACACTGGCCTGGAGCCCAGCTGTGGGCGACCAACGAGTGTCACCCCCCCACCCCCTTCTGGGCATCAAGTTGGGGGGCAGGACGAGACAGTGAGGGCTGGCCTCTGTGCACTACACACGGGGGTGTCCAGTCCTTGGCTGTGTAGCAAGGAACACCCTGCCCAGTGGAGGGGCTGCCAGCACAAGCACAGAGGGTGCCTGGACATTGACTCCGCGTGACCTGTGGAATGACAGGCTTGTTTTCCACAGTCTGTTTGACTTGCCAGCGGAGTGGTATCTGAAGACCCGGACGAGTGTCCAGCAGTTTACAATCTGTCAGATTGGTGAGTGAAACATTCAGATGTCTGTCACGTGTTACAGAGGAAGAGAGATGTGTTGCCTTTGTGGGGCACCTGGCGCTTTGCGTGGACACTTCAGTGACAGTGGGCTCCTTTCGCCTGCTTGTCTCATTTGGTCTTGGCTGTGTGGTGCCTGAGAGTTCCCACATCCTGTAATATGCAGCAACTTAAACCAGTAGCGCTATTTTCATGACTTTCTTGGTTATATGTGCCTGATGTAACAAGTGCCACAACGGAGTAGCTTTAACATCTTTTTAAAATTTTATTTTATTATTTCCTGTGCGTGTACCGTCAAATCAGATCTGACTGGTACAGGAGGAGATTGTCCCTCTTTCTCCAGCAGAGCATCTGGTGGATTTGAACCACATACCTCTGGGATTGCAGTGCAGCTTCTTGCCACTAGGCCACCAGAGCTCCCTAACAAAGATCTTTATTCCCAGTTTAGGAGGCTCACATTCTTTGCTCCCCAGTAGTTCTAACTTTTAGCAACCCCCCATTGGTTTTCTCAGACTGTGGGTTGGGGGGGGATATTGCCTATATTTTTCTCCTGGTGCATCTGGTGGTTGTGAACCACCAGAGTGGCTTGGTTGACAGTGCAATTCCTTATGGACTTTTCCACAGGAGATCCCTAAAATGGATTAAGGCTGTTCTGTCTACACCCTCAATAGGATGAGTTGACACAGTGACGAGCTATGGCCTTGAGCATGGCAGAGATTGTGAGGATGGCACAGGAGAGGGCAAGGTTGAGATCTTTTGTTCTCGTGGTCGCTGTGAGTCATGATAGACTCAATGGACTCTTAACAACATCCACACAAATGAAATGAATGTAGAGATTTTGAGTACTGTTGTAAGGACATGTACCTATTAATTGCATGGCAATTGCAGAGTTGAAGAATATACATGTGAAGTATCAATGATGTTCTCACACTGAACCACCTTCTTGCCAATCCCACAGTGTTCACTGTGATTTAGGTAACAGTCAACTGTGGTCTGTGTGTCTGTTCCCTCATCAACACAGAGCGTTATCAGTCTTTAACATTTCTGTGCATCTTAACAGAGGAATCTCAGGAGAAAGACAGGACAGTCTGCTTCCATAAGATGTCAGCCTGGGAGGCCTCAGAGGGAGTTCTGCTCTGTCCTACAGGGTCATAGAGAGTTGGAATTGACTTGACAGCACCAGGTTTTGGTGTTAGAGGAAACATGATCAAGTTGCTACTTTTATACTTTTAAAAGTACAGAGACTGGTCTGGCCAACTTTTCCTGCAAAGGGTTAAAGAGTAAGCATTTAAAATTTTGTGGACCATATCGTCTTTGTTTAAAAAACAAAACGTAACAGTTGACCAAGCCAAGTTGATTCTGGCTCCTGGCAACACCATGTGTATCAGAGTAGAACTGGGGTCCACAGCGATCACAGTGGCTGAGGCTTTGGAAGTTGATTGCCACTTGCCTCTGCAGGGTTTGAACCTCCAGTCTTTTGAGTAGTAGTCAAGTCTGTTAACTGCACCACCTAGAGACTGTGTTCTCACTGTTGGATTTTGCCATTGTGGAGTGAAATCAGCAATAGGAAACACGTAAATGAAGGAACATTGCTATTATTTCAGTAAAACATTTTTCAGACCAAGCATGGGCCACATTTGGGGAACTCTGGTTTTGATCTGCATGAGGGTGGATTATGTGTGTGTGGGCATGTGCATGTGCATGCATGCACACACATGCACGTTCTAAATTGTCCTTGGTATTTGCTATTTTGTTATTGTGGCTTAATTATGAATATGATTTCTGAAAAGTAGGGCGACTATTTTTGGTTACACATCTATTGTTTTCCTTAATTTTAAATCCACCCAGGTTGGGTGGGTGATGGGGTAGGCGTTTTGAAGTTGTCTTTGGTTTTCTGGCTCATTAAAAAAAAACAAAACAAAACTGTGCTGTGACCAAATTATGTTCTGCTTTGAATTTTTGTTAATGCTACGTGTTTTCAGTAATAGAATATATACTGAAGTAAAGGGAAATTTTTTAAAATTAATGTGTGCTTTGATATACTTGTATGGGATTCTTGTGGTGGAATTGGTGAGTCTACTTATGCCAAGAAATCTGGAGGACAACTACCTGACCAACGGATTGAAAGAGATCTGATTCCCATTCCGAAGAAAAGTGACCCAACGGAGTGTGGAAATTATCGAGCCATATCATTAATATCATGTGCAAGCAAAATTCTGCTGAAAATTATAAAAAAAATGACTAGAACAGCATATCAGCAGAGAACTTCCAAATGTGCAGACTGGATTTAGAAGAGGCCATGATACTAGGGATATTATGGCTACTGTTAGATGGATCTTGGCTGAAAGCAGAGAACAACAGAAGAATGTCTATCTGTGTTTCATTGACTATGCAAAGGCATTTGACTGTGTGGATTACAACAAACTTTGTCTGACTCTGAGAAGAATGGGAATCCCAGAACACTTGATTGTGCTTATGCAAAATCTATACTTGGACCAAGAGTCAGTTGTCACAACAGAGTAATGAAATGTGCATGGTTCAAAATCAGGAAGGGTGGATGCCAGTGATGCATTCTTTCTCTGTACCTTTTTAGTCTATAGGCGGAATAGATCATTGACATCCAGAAGGCTGGATTCTGTGAAGAGGAATGTGGCATCAGGATTGGAGGAAGACTGACCAACAACCTGCATTATGCAAATGACACAACTCTGCTTTCTGAAATTGAGGAGGATCTGAAGCGCTTGCTGCAGAGGGTCAAGGACTGCAGCCTTAAATATGAACTGAATTTCAACATCAAGAAAATACACATTCTCACTACTGGGCCAATTGACAGAATCATGATAGACGGTGAAGAGATTGAGATTGTCAACAGCTTCAGTTTGCTTGACTCCACAGTCAACACTCTTGGTACCTGCAAGCCAGGAAATCAAGAGACCAATTTCATTGGGAAAATTTGCTGTTAGGGATCTTTCCAGAGTACTGAAGAGCAACGATCTCAGTCTAGAGACAAAGGTTTGCCTGATCCAGAAAGCTGGACAATGACTAGGGATGACAGAAGGAGAATTGATGCCTTTGAGCTGCAGTATTGGAGAAGAGTATTGAATATACCATGGGTTTTTAGGAAAACAAACAGGTTCATCCTAGAGAGGATGAAACCAGGCTGCTCCTTTTAGGCAAGGATTCTGAGGCTTTGACATACTATGGGCATGCTGCAAGGAGGGATCAATTCTTAGACATGCTTGGGAGGGTAGAAGGACAGCACAAAAGAGGAAGACCCTGGATGAGATGGAGTGATTCAGTGACTGTGGTAATGGGGGGTAAGTGTGTCACAGGCAGTGAGGTTGACTCAGGACAGAGCAGGGTTCAGAGCTCTTGTACATAAGGTCATTATGCATCACAGGCGACTGGACAGCTGGTAACAACCACCACACACACTTTTCTGCAGATTCATGGGGTTTTTTTATGTCTCCACCAGATGGCAGTGTTGCTGCAGCTCGAGTAGTGACTTTTTAAGAAACCACTGAAAACTTACTGCCATTTTGCAGGAACTGGCTTCTAGCAGACCTTCTGTTGGGTTTTCTGAGACTGTAAATTGCACACGAGAGTACCCATATTTCTCCCTGAGAGCTGCTGGTTGGATTTGACCCGCCAGAGAGGCACTGCCTTTGGACTATGCTATCCAAGCGTTCTGTTCAAGAAACCAGAGAGGCTGAAAATGTTGAGTGACCTGTATCCTCCAGGGCATCAAAGTGTTTTAAAACAGAAATTCAAATGTAGTTCATAGTCTTGGAAAACTACTTTCCTGAATTCTGAGGCTGCTCAGACTTCTGAAACCATTGTGAGAACTGTTCTCAGCTCTTTCCACACAGTGTACTTTTGTTAAGAGTTAGGAGTCCCTTAACACTGATTAGTATCAGTGGACCTGGATACTGGCTTTGTAACTGTCTTGTTTTTAAAAATATGAATGTTACGCTGTTCTCAAGCCCTGATTAGAATCGTGGGGAGCAAGGCCCTCTCCCAGTGCCTGTAGGGGCTGGTCCTGTAGCTGAGGCCTTCACCCCTCCTCTCTCATCTTCTAGGCTTGTCTGTGTTTTCCAGTGTCAGCGGAGAGTCCAACAAGTACGTATGACGATGGCTCCTGCCCGTTTACTTTCTGTAACCACTGCCCCTGACTTCTTCAGGTGGCTGAGCTCTTGAGCCCAGGCACCCACACCCCTTCCTGCTCCTGTGTCCCCTCTAACTCTCAGCTCCTAGGGGTTCTAGAAGCAGCCACCCTCTGCCTCAGTGCCTTGTGGCCATGTCTCTGTCACCTTCATTGTGGTCATCACCACAGTGGGTTGTGAGGGATGTAAAGTACTTGTAGACCACAGAGCCCCACCCCGGGTCAGAAGGGATGTTACTTTTGTCAGGGCGGGGCCTTTTGTCCCCGTGCGGCATGCAAACTGAGAGCCCCCCTTGTGGGGTGTTCCTGACTTTCCAAAGGGCAGGCCTCTGCCTCACTTCTGGTCCTTCAATACTTGGAACACAGCAGACTTTCACATACATTTTTGGCCTTGACAGTGATTTATTCTCTCACAGTGTAGAAGGCCAAATTCTGCATTGCAGCTACAGGACAAGCTTGCTTTCTGTGCCTCTGGGATAAGGGTTCTTGTCTTCCCCTGAGTCTAGGAGGTTCTTAGTACAAGGACCCTGGGCCCAAAGGATGTACTTTACTCTCAGCTCTTCTTGGGAGTAGGAAGTCCCTTCATAAATGAAAGAATGAGCTTCATCTGATGCCTGCTTTATGAGCCAGAGTTTAAAAAGTGGTTTCTGGCTTTTTCTCCTGTGTTTTGATCTTGTTTTTTAGGTATGTAGCCCATTCGTGTAACTTCTTTCTTTTCCCTACAACGTTTGGAACTTTGGACTCAGAATTCTCTTTCCAAGCTTCTAGTGTTCAGTTTTTGAATCATTACGGCTTTGACTATAACAAGGTACGGTGCTGAGGGAAGGTTGGAGGGGCCCTCCCAGAAGGGATCTGGTTTCACTGGCCTAGGAGTCCTAGGTTTCTCTCCTTTCTTACTTGTCCACACGACCGTAGGATTCTTTTCACACCTGGAACAGAGTGTCTCTAACTTGTCTCCTTGTTTTGTTCCTTAGTTTCTCAAAAGTGGAATCCCATATATTAATGAAGAGGAAGAAAAGAAAATCAAACGCAACATCCTGAGTGGGAACTGGAGGGTTCGCAGGTAGAGAGAGCCATTGTGTCCATGTGGGGTTTTATTGGGGTTGCCGTTTTTGGTTTGTTTTTTTTTTCCCCTGGGTGTCATCCTGGATTAAGCATTGCTCTGCCAACCAAAAGTCAGCCGTTTGGCTCCACCAGATGCTTGTTTTTTTTGAGGAAAGGTATGACATCAGCTTTTGTTAAGAATTCCCCGGAATAAACCTTTTGGAACAGTTCCCTGTCCTGTAGGTCATTGCGCTAGAATCAGCTTGACAGTAGGTGTGAATGGGAAGGTGCCCTCTTATCCAGGGCTGGGTAACACCATATTGTCCACTGGCCTGCTGTCCACTAGGTGTGGTCAGTCAGCACAGTCCCTCTGTGAGGCTGCTGAGTCTTTCCCTCCTTATGAGGTCAGAAATAGGGTCACCTGTTCCCTCCAGCAGGCTCGGCCTCCAAGAGAGCCTCTCACTGCGTGAGGCTGTAGGAGGGTGGTGGTCACGGCTACTTGTATAAGCAGTTAAGGTCTTAACTGGACAGCGAAGGGAAGCTGATATTTCCAGCTCCGAGTTGACCCCTGCACAACATGGCATTTCCCACTTTGTTGAAATTACACGTATACATTGTGATTTCCCAAAACTTAGCTACAATTCTAGTACTTTGTTGACTGGAACCATTATTGATGCCATATTGCACACCGTACACCTTCGTGTGAAGGCTGTGTTGTCACCCTACAGTGAAAAGGTATCTTGCAAACAAGGATTTCAAACTTGCTGGCTGGAGTGATGCCAGCATGAGTTTCCTTTGTTTACAATGGTCCTTCTGCTGAGTTCGTTTCTCTTGAATGGCGGACAGCTGCAGACCTCAGTCCACGGTACGTATCGAGCAGTTCAGCTTTTGCGTGTAATGTCATCACTTTTCTTGGCTTCCAGGGAGCCCTTTCTGGGAGTCCCACAGTGTTAGAGTTCAAGGTCTGCAGTGTTTCCCTGGGGAGCGCTGGTGGCCAAGTCCATACGAAGTCAGGCCAGGCCTCTGGCGGATGGAATCCACCAGCTGCTCCGCAGGAGAAGGGCAGTTTCTAAGGACCCGGGGGAGGGTCGAAATCAGCTTTGAATCATTTCCGACTCAGTGGTGAGTTTATGTAGAGATTGTGCTAAAAATACAATGAAAATGAAGCAGGAACCACAAGAGGTTAATTTTGTTAAAGTATGCAGCTTACTGAAGAAATGAACTGCTCATACAGAAATGGTTGTGTCTCAGGATTTGTTTGTGGTTTTGAATCTGCGTTCAAGGGTCAGCACAAGTGGACCCGGCAGCTGGTCTGTGGAGTGAGATCTGTCATTCACCACATGTTTCATGGTCAGGAGCGATGTCTCTCGATCTTAGGGTCTCTAGGGTTGTTATCTGAGCAGCGGGAGCACGCTGAATCCCAAGCTGCTCAGAGAGTAAATGCTGGGTCCCCTCGCTGTCCCTGTCCCAGGCTGTTCATAGACCCTGGAATTCAAGCCTTGGGGTAGATTCTGGTGTGGGGGTTCTGCTCTGTCCCCAAGGGCAGAATGTCTGTCTTCTGTCTTTGGTTACTGATGCCAGTCATAGTCCCTGAAACTTTGACACTAATCTCGGACTGGTGTGGAGTTGGGGTGGGGGTGTGCGGTAGGCCCAGCAGGCCACTGTGTTCTGGTCCGGCTGAGGTGCTGAGCTAGGCGGGGTTTGTGAACAAACTGTTTTCATTCTTGGGGTTTTAGATTCTTTATCGTGAAGCGGTTACAGTCGGAAACCTAACTCTGAAAGGTTAGGATTGTTTATCTAATCCAGTCAGTCTTTTGTTACTCTGATTATCTCACATAATGAGGTATTTCGGTGTTGTCTTCAATTTCTCATTAGTGGTTTTTATATTAAAATACAGCATTTTGTAAATGGAGCAGCACAGTTTGAATTTTTAGCCTTCTGTTATTTTAAGATGGTAGAGAAGTCTTTTCTTATTTCCCAGTTATATCCTGCTCTTCATTAAAGAGCTCCTGGTGGAGTTACGCCTTGGACGACTAACCAGAAGGCCAGTGTTTCACGTCTGCTAGCTGCACTGGGAGGAATATGGACAGTGTCCTGCTGTAAAGATCTTCAGGCCTGGAAGCCTCAGGAGGGTCAGGAAGAGGCAGATTTGACTCACTGGCTGCAGTTTCTAACACAGGAGGAGATGGGTTTATCAGTGTCCCTGCTAACTTCTTGTTTCATGATAGGGGGCCTTGGCATTGCTGTTAGCAGCATAAATCTGGTTTTGACACAGTGGCTGGGTCTCTGTAGCTTCTCCTTGAACATTCTAGAGAAGCACAGAGAGACCTGGTATGTTGCCTTGGGAAGCTTGTGGGCCAAGTGTTGACCTTCCAGTTGCAGAAGACGATCTGGAAACTAGTGACCTTTTGGGGTCTGTTTTCTCCTGCAGCTCCCATTGCTAAGCCTGAGGACTTCTGAAGACCTTTACATTGTCTTATGGTTTCAGCGTGGTGTCTCCAGCATTTCCACTTTCCTGTGCCCTGGTTTTAGTTCCTTGGACAAAGACCAAATCAAGGTGGTGATTGACAAGGTGACGCGGTGGCTGCACCTGGCAAAGGAAGGCGACTGTCTGACCCTCTCAGGCATCACTGGTAGGTGGGAGGGGTATCGAGGCAGACCCCTGGCGTGGACTGGTCATTAGGGGTCATGCATCTTCTCCTCCTTGGGGTTCCTTGGCCCAGATCACTGAGTCGCTTGTGCTTAGAGCACTGATCTGAATCCAAAATCTGGAGACTTCAGGATCTGCTTCAAATATTTAAACTCAGGATGTAAAATTCCATCCCAAGCCATCCTTTTTATGCTGTGCCAACCCAACAATTCCTGTGCAGTGTGATCTTAATTACTCTGATGAGCCTCTGAATATTTTCCAGCATGAAAAGTAGACTCAGAATGAACGTCCTCCATGAGATATTCTTTAACACGTTGCCGCCAGTGATGGCAAATGTGTTTCTAAGCACAGTCATTAATTTAAAAAGTGTGCGGCAATGTGGTAAGCACGGTACAGGGTTCCCTGGGTCTCTCTGAGATCCTTTCCATCAGATTAGAGCTTTTTAGAACACCTGATACTACTTGATCTAATTGTTTGCCATTTATGCTGGTGGTGCAGAAACAATGGTGGGTAAACTTCTGAAATCTTGGTACAGGGAAGGCTGTGATGCCAGCTGTTCTGGTAGACAGGTCATCTTCATGACCACCTCTGTGCTGATATTTTTTAAAAAGCAAATTATGAAACAACTGGAGATGCCATTTGACCCTAAAAATAATATCAAAGTTCAACAGAGTAGCAAACAGCAAATGTTGGCAAGGTTATGGAGAGATTGGAACCCTTATTTACTTCTGGTGGAATTGTAAAATGGTGCAACCATTAGAAGGTGGTCTGGCACTTTCTTAAAAAGTTGGAATAGAAACACCGTTTGATCCAGCTATCCTGCTTCTGGTAATATGCCCTAAAGAAACCAGAGCCATGATTCAAACACATGTATGAACTTGCTGCATTATTTACAAGAACTAAGAGATTGAAGCAACCCAAGTGCCCATTAACATGGATAGAAAACCTATGGTACATCACACAATGGAATATTATGCAACACTGAAAAACAGTGATTTCATAGGGGAGCTTGGAGGACATTATACTGAGAGAAGTATCTCAATCACAAAAGGACGAATACTGTATAACACGCTGTTACAGAAAAGAGAATGGGAAAAGAGTGGATAATAATGAACACTGCAGTAGAACAGATGAGGAGAAGAACTGTCTGAAAGGAATATGTGGTTATGTATGAGAACTATCTGGAACAAGAGGGGAGGGCTGGGGGAGTGAGGGGGGAGAAAATGTGCAACAATGGAAAATAAATGACAATAAAACATTCTTTTATGTTTAAAGAAAGCTGTGTTTAAGAACTGCTTGGTGAATATAATTTTTTGATCGTACCTATTTTTATTATTTTTGTATGTTTACCATCAAATTGGACGTGACTGGTACAAGAGGAGATTGCCCCTCCTTCTCCAGCAGAGCATCTGGTGGTTTCGAACCGAGTACCTCTGCAGTTGTACTTGTTTTAAATATTCATTGTGTCTGTGGTGACGTGTCACCTTACATGCTATGGGCACATTGTTGGAGGGGTCAGACCTTGGAAAAGGACGTCACACACCTGACGGCTTACTCTGGACTAGACCTTGCTGTGGATGCAGGTGCACAGGGTTTCCAAATTGAACAGAACATTCTTCAGCAAAAGGGACCTGCTTGTTCCCTCAGAATACTGGTTTGTTAAGAAGGTGCAAATAAGAAATTGACTATTTAAAATGAGGATACTAAGATAATGAGGTATAAAGTAGCTGGCTTACACACTTTGATGAATGTAGTTATTTGTAAGGTGAAAAACCTCACAATATACATGAATGTACATTTTTTGTATCGGCAAACTGAAATGGATAGGTATGGGCCACTTTGAGTCAGACAATCACATGATCTACTATCCTGAGAGTGAAAATCTGAGGAAAATGGTGTTGCTTTCATAGTTAAAAAGGCAGTGTCAATATCCATCCTGAAGTACAGTGCTCAGAGAGATAGGATACTGTCCATACATACACTGGGAAGACCTGTTAATATGACTATTATTGAAGTATAAACACCAACAACTAAAGTCAAAGAGGAAGGGATTGAGGGTTTTTGCCAACTTTTGCGGCCTGTAATTGACCAAACATGAAATCAAGATACATTAATAATTATTGGTGATTGGAATCCAAAAGTTGGAAACAATGAGGAAGGAATGGTGTTGGAAGGTGTGGAACTAGTGATAGAAATGGGGCCAGAGAGAAAATGATTAAATTTGTATATTTCAGTGATTTAGTCATAGCTAATACCTTAAAAACAACAACAAACCAACCACACCACAAATGGTGACTTTACACATGGATCTCACTTGATGGGTTGCACAGGAATTAGATTAGTACCTACAGTCAGAACCAGATTGGGTGCTAATTGTGGAACTGATGTGAGCAATTACTCATGTGCACGTTTAAATTGAAGCTGAAGAAAATGAAAACTAGTCCACAGGAACCAAAATATGACCTTGAGTCTGTCCCAGTTGAATTTAAGAACCATCTCAAGAACTAGTTTGAGGCATTGAACACAAGAGGAACTAGAAATATATCATCCATGAAGGGAGTAAAAAGTCATTTAAAAAAGGAGAAAGGGGGAGCTCTGGTGGCCTAGTAGCAAGAAGCTGCACTGCAATCCCAGAGGTGCAAGGTTCGAATCCACCAGATGCTCTGCTGGGGAAGGAGGGACAATCTCCTGTACCAGTCAGATCTGATTTGACGGCACACACACACAACACAAATAATAAAAATTTTAAAAAAAGGAGAAAGAAGAGACCAAATTGGATGTCACAGTAGAGTATGGAAATTGTATTAGAACATCAAGAAGCTGAAATAAAAGGAAGAGATGCCAAAGTAAAAGCTGAGCAGAAGATTTCAAAGGACAGTTGGAGAAGAGAAAGCAAAATAATATCACGGAATGTGCAAAGAGCTGGGATTGGAGAATAAAAAAAGGGACGAATTTGGTATTTCTCAAGCTGAAAGAACTGAAAAAAACAAAACCTTATTTACAATACTGAAAGATGTTATGGGCAAAATATTGAGTGATCCAAGAAGCATCCAAAGAATATGGGAAGAGTACACAGAATTGCTATACCAGAAAGAATTATTGACACTGAAAAATTTTACCAAATACTGTATGAATAGAAGCCAGTGGCGGTGAAGGAAGAAGTTCAAACTTCTGAATACTTCAATAATGAAGGTATTGACAAGAAATAAGACCCCAGAAATCGATGGAATAACAACTGACATCTTTAACAGACGCAGCCCTGAATGTGCTCACCAATTTATGTCAGGAAATTTGGAAGACAGCTATCTGGTTGGCTAACTGGAAGAGCTCTGTATTTGTCCCCATTCCCAATAAAAGTGACTAATTAGAATGGAAATTATCTAACAATGTTATTAATATTTTGTTTAAGCAAAATGTTGAAGATCATGTAAAAATGGCTTGAACTGTATTACATAGGGTACTACCAAGATTCTAGCTGGTTTTAGAAGAAGATGTGGCGCCAGGGATATCATTGCTGGTGTCAGATGGATCCTGGCTGAAGACAAAGAACAGCAGGAAAACGTGTGTTTTATTGACTGTGCGAAGGCATTTGACTATATGGAACATAACAAATTAGGCTAACATTGTGAAAAATGGGCATCCCAGAACACTTAATTGTGCTTTTATACAATCTATACATAGACCAAGAAGCTGTTGTCTGATTGGAGCAAGGAAACATTGCATGGTTTAAAATCATCAAGGGGGTGCGTCAGAGTTCCATTTCTGTGCCAATTTGTATGCTCAGCAAATAATTTGTGAAGCTGAACTCTGAGGAATTAATTTGGCATCAGGATTGGAGGAAGATCTGTCAACAACCTGCATTATGCAGATGACACAACTTTACTGAAGGTGAGGAGGATATGAAACGCTTGCTTCAGAAGATCAAGGACTTCAGCCTTCAATATGGATTACATCTCAACAAGTAAACAAAGGTCCTTACCCCAGGACCAGCAGTCAAAATTAGGATAGCTGGAGAAAGGATTGAGGCTGTCAGTAATTTAATCTTGCTTGGATCAACAGTCAACACTAGTGGTACCAACAATTGGGAAATCAGGAGATGTATTACACTGAACAAGTCTGCTGTCAGGGACCTTTCCAGAATGCTGAAGAACAGTGATGTCAGTTTGAAGACTAAGGTGCATCTGATTCAGGCCATAGTCTTCTCAGTCACCTGCTGTGCACCAGAGAGCTGGACAGTGAATAAAGATGACAGAAGAAAAGATGGCTTTGAGTGGTGGTGGTAGAGAAGAGTACAGAATAACCCAAGGATTGTCAACCAGAAATGTCTTGGGAAAAGTGGGCCAGAGTGCTCCTTGGAGGCAAAGATGGTGAAGCTTAGGCTTTCATACTTTGGACATGTAGATGGATGAGGCTGTTCCTTGGAAAGAACATCATGATTGGAAAGATGAAGTGTCAGTGAAGGAGAGGAAGGCCCCCAATGGGATGGATTGACTCTAACTTCAGCAGTGGTCTCTAGTGTGTCAGAGATGATGCGGATGGCACAGGACAAGACAGAGAGGTTTGTCAGTTCATAGGTTGAGAGTTACACTTGATGGCATGTAACAACATCAACATGTAAAGGAAAGATTGTATCAAATGCAGTGTACTTACATGAAATACAATGTATGTGAATGATTTTATGCAAACCAATAAAAGTAGGTAAATAATTTTAAAAAGGACATCATACTTGGAAAGGTAGAGGACCAGTGTAAGTGAGGAAGAGGTCCAACAAGATAGATTGACTCAGTGACTGCAACAGTGGGCTCGTTTGTGTCAGTGATGAGCAGGGCGGTGGTGGTACAGGATAGGCAAGGTTCAGATCTGTAGTTCATAGAGTTTCTATGACTTGCAGTGAACTTGATGGCACACAGCTGTTGGAGAATTAATGTGTAAAACATGGCTGCCATGTCCTTGTGTCCACACAAGGGTTGTCTCCAGAAGCAA